AAATAAATAGGAAAGCATAACATAATGGTCCATCCACATCATGCTTACAATAATTATCACTGCTTACGCTAAATTTGTTTTAGAATATAGCTTTTGTTGAACAATATAGCTAGTATTTGTGGTCAAGAAAAACTGATATGCTCTCGTTAAGGAAGAAAATCTATTTAGGCACCTTAACCACAAGAGCACTTAAATGGGCTTGATTCACAGTCTATTTTGGATCTGAATATTGCAGTTAATGAAATGTGCTTTCATGAGTCCGGGGAGCCCAAAAAACATTGTTTGGGAGCAAAGCCAGCAAGATCATGCTCTTCCTGTTTTCATGCATTTGAGGGACAAGCTAAAACACATGCGCTGAACATAAGGTTCCTCTTCATACTCCACCTCTAAGGATGGCAGAGTGCAGCCACAACGCCTATAGGGAAGATACGCTCTCCTACACAGCAATCAGCCCAACATGTGCCCTCGTGAATGCCAATCATATCATAACATCCCGTGAGGTTAAACTGTCAATATTAGAAGCAACAGAGGGTGTAGTAGGAGGACAACGGTTTAAAGAAAATACAAGAACATTTATTAAGTTCATGAATTAAATTATAGGGCAAAAAGTTTAATAAAAAATGTTTAAAAAATAAGATAGGAAAAAGGAAAAACCATGCAAATTAATAAAAAAGTTATTAGAAAGCAAATCATAAAAGGAAAAGAAAAAAATATATATATATATATAAGAATATAAGTAAAAAGACAAATCTAATGAAGTTGTTTAAATATTAAGAAATTATGAAAAGTATGAAATATGTATTAAATGTATGAAAGTACATTTTTTTAAATAAAATTCTACATATATGTCAATAATAAAGTGAAACAAAAACTTCATTAGTATTGTACAAAAGTAAGAAAAGTACAAAAAAAGTCACAAAGAGTTTGTAAATTTTTTTTTTACATCATTATCATAATAATTTTGTTACTTGCCCATCTCTAAACCTTGATGAGAGAGTTTGTGTACACGTACAAGTCTACGCAAAAGATGACGCACCGAAAACGTAGTATTGAGGGAGGGTTATCATCCACAAAACTCGCTGAGCTAAACCAACTCTGCCATCTGAGAGGATACTTTGGCACGATGACGCTTGGCTCACCTTGGCATGAAGGTCAAGAGGACAAAGGCTCGGGAATGATGGGAATTCTACTTGACCATGACAAAAGCATCAGAACGTGAGTAAAGACTATGATTGATTCAAATTATTTGATATCAGTTTACCTCCAACTCTTCTGCTTTATATTCATTTATTATAGACTATACCATGTGTATAAGTCTGTATAGGCACTAGGCAGTAGCTATTTTTATAAAAGCAAATAAATAAATAAGAACTTTAAAACATTCTCTCAAATTAGGATAGTGACAATACAGAATCTAAAAAAAAAAGATAAGTATGGTCTTTAAAATATAGTATGAACTGTATGAATGAGTTATGAATGAGTGTTTCTATTGTTAATCACTGGAGACAGGTTTAAATGGAAGTGTTTGAATGATTCAATGATCAGTTGATAACCTGTTAATCTAACCAGCTAACTATGCCAAATATTCAGAAAGCAATTTGATCTTCACAATGCTGTCCATCGAGGGAATGTTTGCTTTGCATGTTGAGCTCTCAATATAATAAACATCTATAGTGTAAAATCAATGTAAAAGAATCTAAAAAGGACCTGTAAATGAGGTAACCAACATGACACTGACTAATCTTGATGAGTGGCTTTGTTACTTTTCACTTTTGGTACAGTGGAAAATCATTTATGTAAAAGAAACAAAACAAACTTTTATGTAAATAATGTTAATATAATTAATAACGCATGGATCAGACACATGAGTACAACTGTCATAATGTTTTTTATGAAACAGCTGTTATTATAATGAAAGTAGCCTAGGCTACTGGTTATTCACAGTCATTATTAATAACAAAAACACACATGTAGCAAATATTCCGCCTTTATGACTGTGAATTCCGTACGTAAAAACAGCAAAACTGGTGAAACATGCTGATAAAGTTTCAAAAGAAGCAGCAGGCAGACAGGTGTAAATTATAATCAGGGATCTAACCATGAAAAACTATAATAAAACAATTAACAAAGTGACTTACCGTCAACTGTCTTCTTTTTAAACAGAGATGCCATGATAACTTTGTTTTTCTTTTTAATTCAGTGTAAAAGTAGTTTCTCTGTCTAACTGCCTGAGCCTAGCTGTCTATCGATCCGCTCAAAGGTCTTTTTCCTGGTTTGTGTCAGCAGCACAAGTGACTTTGACTGCCGGAGCCACACCGCGCGCTATGGGGACGTCACGGGCGAGGGGTCTGCGGCGTAGTTCTCCTTCACGTCCTGTAGGGGGCAGCGCCCCCCTCCACAAAGCGCTCTGAGCTGCTGTTGCTTCAGCAATTCAGCAAACCGCACATGGCTTTGTGATCGACATTTTCAGCAGTGTCCTGGAGTGTAACTTGCTATAATTCACCTAAAACAATTTCTTCTATATTATTATGCATGCGGTTTTTATGAACTCGCAGTAGTTGAGTTTTCGCTCTCTAAAAAATGCATTCGTCACACCGACTGCAGGACCATTTAACATGAAGTAGTCACGACAAAATGTGATTAACTGGATTTTTTAAACGAAACTGCCACCTTTCGCTTTCATATGTAAATGAGTAATTCATTCCTAGGCTATGAGTTAAACAAATAAACAAAAGATCAATAAGTCAAATAACCGCATAATGACTGTATATATATATATATATATATATATATATAGTCAAAACAATCCTTTCTCCCCCAATTTATTCCAAACTAATTTATTGGATAACAAAAGCACTACAATTCCTACCATCATGCAATATAAACAAAGCCATATTCTTCTTGAGTATCCATCACTCCAGTGGACTTTACTGCAGGTTATAGATGCCATAGCAGTGTCAAACGGCAAATGTAATATTCTTATCAATTTTACGCTCCATCCATCTGAACAATTTGTGGCTCGGTTCCTTGTGGGTGTAATTCTCATGGTATGGTAAAGTGGAGCAGACAGGAGATT